TATATATATATATATATATATATATATATATATATATATATATATATATATATATATATATATATATATATATATATATATATATATATATATATATATATATATATATATATATATATATATATATATATATATATATATATATATATATATATATATATATATATATATATATATATATATATATATATATATATATATATATATATATATATATATATATATATATATATATATATATATATATATATATATATATATATATATATATATATATATATATATATATATATATATATATATATATATATATATATATATATATAATATATTTTTGATGGTTGCTGTGATTGTTTAGATTTTTAATTCATCTTAATTATTTGATAATAAATCATTTTTCTATTTTTTTTTTATTTTCACCAAAATTTATCACTTTTTTTTCTATAAATATAGATTTGGTTTTGATTTGCTACACAAAAAAAATCCACTTTTTTCTTCTATTTTTTTTATTTAAACTTCAATAAACTCTTATTTTATCTATTTTTATTTATTTTAACAATGATTATTCTTATAAAATTAGAAAAAATTCAAATAAATTAAGAATATAAAAATTAGAAAAGAATTTAAATAAATTATTAAAATTAAAATAAATTATTTAATTTTTAATTATTTTAATTTTATTTTAATCGATAATTGATATTAATATAAAATTTTAAAAACAAAAATCTAAAAAAATAAAAATATGAAATAAAAGTGACAGTAAAAAAAAAATATTATAATGAATAAAAGTTGAATAAATATTAAATTCTTATGGGGAAGAAAGAAAAGATTATGTTAAATATAAAAAGTGAAAAAGAAAGGTGCTATGGTATATGCTAAGTGATAAGTGTTAGTATGTTAAACTTATCACGAAAAGGCAATGCCACCAGCTGTATACAGTTGTACACTACATATAGTACTTCAGGCTATTCAAGATATAATAATTTTTATAAGAAAAACAAATAATAATAATAATAATAATAATAATAATAATAATAATAATAATAATAATAATAATAATAATAAATTTTCTATAAATAAAATACAAAAATAATACATAATATTAATAGAAAACATCATGATATTTTAAACACAAAGGGCAATAAGTTAAGTCTTTTATCTTTAAAATTGTTATGAATTTATGATTATTTAATTAATTTAATGTTATACTTTAAAGAATATTATTTATCTATCATAACAATTATATATATTAGTATCCGTTTCAATTTTTTGGATGGCCGCACCGCGCCGATATCTGATTTTAACAATAGAGCATCCGATATTGCTCCATCACATTATAGTAGATGGATCCCTAAATATTGACTTGAGCTGGATCTTGCTGAATCAAGGCATACATTAAACTTTTGAAAAAATAAAGGAAAAGGTTGACCAAAATTGTTCAATTTAAAGGACTAAATTACCATTTCATAAATTTCAATGATTAAAATGCATAGTCACTCAATAACTATCCATCTCTTCATTGATTGTTGCTATCATTGAGTGTTATTATCATACTTTTGGACTCTAATGAACAGGTTCTGATCAGACAATTTGCTGATAAACTTTGAAGGTAGACAGCAACTTGAGTTCCCCTTATTTTGTTGCCATGTATGTGTTGTTGCTACGAGGAAACTAACACTTGGCATGTGTGAGTAAAATGTGAAGCTTTTATGGAACTGGTTGAGACATGAGATAACATGGCTTATGATATGCTTCATCCACAAGTTCCAATCTAGAGTTGACACTAACAAAAGTACTCCAATGCTCATCTTTGCTCTGTCGGATTATTGTCCAAAGCTGCACCTTTTATGATAATTTTAATTAATTTTCAACGTGCCACCTGTCTGAATTTGTAGGAAAACTCATCTACATCTATTGTTTTTTTTTACATATCATAAATCTGTTGTATCACATTTCTGTCTTATTTTTAGTTCTGTTCAGTTTTAGGCCCACAGTGATTCATTATTCATTGTTGTAGCTATAAAATTTTACTATGCAAATTGTTAGTAGTTAATTGTTAATATATATTTATATCTTTGTGAGGACTTGAACTCTTAACCTCCAACTCCTTTAAACCTTTAACTCAACTATTTAAAGACAATTTTAAGACAGTAGAGCTATTCCTCCTATCCTCTCATTACTCTTTCTTTTCTTTCAAATATTTAGATTCAAGATTTTTCTTAAGAGTTAATAAAAATTAACCATATTTAGTTGATTATTCTCAATTCAAATTGTCAAAATCATATAAATTGATATTTTCACTCTATAAAAATGTTAAAATTAAAGAAAAGATGTTACATGCACCAAGAATCCACATTAGAGAAAAATATATGCACAAACAGTTATATATGGTTATATATTTTTAATTGAGGTAGAATTAATAAAAGTAGGAGAAGTCATCTCCAATGCCGTCTAGTGGTGGTTACAGATATTATATTATATTGCTTTTGTGGATATTTTCATTAGATACACATGGATATTTTCTGAAAAATAAGGTTGATTCTCTTAATGCTTCAAAGTTGTTTCTTGCTCATGTCAAAACCCAGTTTCAAACTAACATAAAGTCTATTCAATCTGACTATGGAGGAGAGTATAGGCCTTTCACTAACTATTTAGTTAAGTTAGGTATCACATAGGCTAACGTGTCTATACACATCCCATCAAAATGGGACAGTGGAAAGAGAACACAAATATTGTAGAAATGGGATTAACTCTACTAGCTCATGCCTCCATCCCTCTCACCTTCAGGGATCACATCTTTACTAATACTGTGTATTTGATTAATAGACTACCTACTAAGGGTCTCAAGAGTTTCTCATCTCCTTTTCATACCCTTCATAAAACTCTTCATGACTATAAATCTCTTTAGAGTTTTGGTTGTGCCTGCTTTCCCCACCTTAGGCCTACAACCAAAATAAGTTACAATTTAGAAGTTCCATATGTGTATTCTTGGGGGTATCTCCTCAACATAAAAGCTTCAAATGTCTAAACTCAGATGGTAGAATTTTTGTGTCTAAAGATGTAGTTTTTGATGAAAACTCTTTCCCCTTTTCCACTATGTTCTCCTCTAAGTCAGTCTATCATGACTGAATTTTCTCATAGCACATCAAGCAATCTAGTCTTAATAGGACATAACCCTTCTTCAAAATCTGATATTTCCAACTCTAATACTCCACCTTCTGCCCTGCCAATAGCAACATCCCCTATGATTGCAATCAGTTCTGAGAACAGGCTAGACACTCTGCCCACTAGTCCTAAGAGCACCGTACCCCATAACACTCCACAGTCTGATCCAATTTTTACTCAATGGTCACCTCTTACTGCATCATCTTATAATCCAACAAATATTGACTCTTGTACAAATACTTCACCACCACTGGCTCATAAAGATGTTTCGTCGGGTGAGTCTTCTCAATCTTTATCTTTTCATAGCTAAATTGTAACACACTTCTAAACCTAACGAATAATTCATAAATAATTATAACATTAATCAAATATAAATCACCAAGAAGAATGTCACATCTTCGTAATAATATCATATAAAACATCATGTTCCGTAATACAGGCTTTCAAATCATTTTAAGCGATCATTTCTTTGGTAACATCAACAAACAATTCAAACTTCGCAGTGGAATCATAGTCTCAAAATAACTCCATTTAGTTCATCAATATCAAAACTTTTGGGTCAATATCAAAAGTCATTATCAAATAAATCTAGCATAGTAAAACTCAAAAATATGTTTATTAAAACAGCTGAAACTTCAACTCAAGCGTTTCCGCACCCGATGCTACAATATCAGAGCAAAACTACTATCATTAATGAAAATAAGTGACTAACTTCAAGCGATCCTCAAACTTCTACAAGCTATTTCTGATTATCTGCAAGTTATCCATATATAGAGACAACATTTCCAAGCAGAAAAGGTGAGAAATCACGAATCATTATAAAATATATACAAAATAAATATAGTAGTTACAACAACAATCACCGAGGATTCCACATATTCATCATACTTCACATATATACTCACACTGTCGCATTATCAATACACCCATAATATATCATTATATCATCAATTAATATTCATCATCAAACATCACTTAGATCACAACATCATCAACGTCACTCAAACAACAATCATGCAATGTCACAAAGAATATAACGCAACATCGTTGACTCATGCATGTGGTACCAAAATTCACTGATGACCGAATCATCTTTCCTCCAAAGATCCCTACCTTAGGATCGATTCCCGCTTGGAAACAGAGCACTTCACAAAAATACACTCAATCCACACCATGGGATTGAGGTTGTCCCTAAACCAACGTCCTAACAACATCACTGAATCAAATGTCTTAGTATATGCCATGAATGTATGATGCTCAACAACATAAATAACATCTGATCACTACTAGTCAAAACACATCATCATCCATGTAATCGTCATAATATCATCACATACATCACAATACGCATGACATCATCATAACAACACTGATTCATTATACAAGCATACATCATATTACATCAACTCATATTCACATCAATTCGTCATAACAACATCATAATTCTTACTAGTTTATCTTACTCAGTTTATTCTACCAAAACATAGTTCACCGTGTTATCCCTCTAACGCTTTGAACGACGTATCAAACAGAGTCCTGAAACTCAAGTTACGACACTTTAAAAATTCTATCTTCTGTCCCTCGCCCGAGGCTCACCCAACGAAGCAGCTTGCTTGCCTGAGGCTCGCCCGACGAGGCTAGGGCGACTCACCTTTACCCATACAAAATTCTAAGAGCTCTATTTTTCATCCTTCCATTCACCTCTTAACTTGCCCAGCGAGCTCGTGGTCGCCTCTACTTCGCCCGACGAAGCTGGAGCGAGACTCCTTCTCTCATACATTTTCCAAGAGAACCCAAAATCATAAGTTCACTTGCCTCACTCTTGCCCGGTGCTTCCCAGGCCAATTAGATTCTCCCGGTGAAGCAGAAGCTTGCCCGATGATGCAACATGATCAGGAACTTCCTGGTGGAAATTCTACACTACACCAGTCCCAAACTCCTTACGATTTCACATCAAAGCAGACTCAAAACTCATATAATTCCCATGTTTTCACAGATACAACAACAATACATCATTTCATAGCATTACAACATTAATTTATCATCAATTTCATCATCTACTTCTTCACAATCATCATATTAACAAGTTCATCATAAAATTCATAAACAACTTACATACGTCGAAACACTATACCAATTATAATAATCAAGATAACTCCCCTTACCTTAGATTCTAACTTTGATTCCTGTTCCAAGCTCTACAATTGATTCCCTTCTCTCTTCTTCGTGCCCTACTTCTTCACTGCTCTCTTCCCAATTTTCACGATTGTGCAAAATGAAACATTGACCCTCTCTTTGTTCCTTTTTGTCTAACTTATCCCTTTGGACCCTAATATATTATTCCACTCTTGCCCACACTCACTCCACATAACATGACTAATAATCCCTTAACATCTCTTCTCCAATTATTCTATTTTATTTAATTTTAAATAATAATAATTCTAATTAGTAATTCTAAACAATTATACTAATCATCTAAATTATTATATTATTCTAGTTTCCACCTTAATGCACACTATCCCACCATACACCACACATACATCACACATCAAATCATCAATAATTCACACATAATCACATCACGCGTCATAATTCAACAAAACATCATATATTTACAAATATTCATCATATAACTAATTAAATAGATACTCTTAATTAATTTGGGATGTTACAACTCTCTCCCACTTAAAAAAAAAAAATTCCTCGAAAATTACCTGGCAAAAACAAAATCGGATAAGACTCTCTCATCTGATCCTCACGTTCCCAAGTCCAACTTTCTCCAACTGATCCACCCCACAATACCTTTAATAAGGAAATATCTTTACCCCGAAATTTCTCCACTTCTCGACCTTCTATCCGCACAGGTGATACTTCAACATTCAGGTTATCTCTCACCTGTACATCATCCATTTGGATCACATGCGAAGGATCCAGAATGTATCTCCTCAAATGAGACACATGAAACACATCATGAAGATTCGCAAGCGATGAAGGTAAAGTAATCTGATAGGCCACTTCACCTATCCTCTTAGCAATCTGATATGGACCAACAAAGTGTGGTGTAAGATTTCACGACTTTAGAGCCCTACCAACACCAGTCACCAGAGTAACTCTCAAGAATACATGATCATCCTTTTGGAACTCAAGTGCCTTTCTCATCTTATCGTGATAAATTTTCTGACGACCCTGAGAAGCTTTTATCCTCTCTGGGATCATTTTGATCTTCTCAATTGTTTCCTACACAATCTCAGGCCTGATCACATCACTCTCACCTGACTCACACCAACACAATAAAGTTCTACACCTCCTACCATACAATGCTTCATATGGTGCCATTTCAATGCTATAATGGAAACTATTATTACAAGTAAACTCAATCAACTGCAAGTGGCTATCCCAAGCTCCTCCTTGTTCTAGCATACAAGCCCTCAACAAATCCTCTAAAGACTGAATAGTCCTCTCTGTCTGACCTTCAATCTGCGGATGATATGCGAAACTCAACCTCAACTTAGTACCAAAAGCATTCTGCAAACCTTCCCAAAACTTCGACGTAAACCTCAGATCTCTATCTGATGCGATAATCGAAGGTATCCCATGCAATTTCACAATCTCTTCAATATACATCTCAGCTAGCTTCTCCATA